ACCTGCACACAAGTGAGAAAAGAAACACCTCAGTGGAGTTCAGCCCTGGGAGAGGGGAGGAAGGTGAGCTCCCGGCAGGCACAGGCCCTCTCCCAGGGCAGCGTGAGGCCACCTGAGATAGATCATGGTTGCCCCGTGGTCAAAGTCTCGTGGAAGAGGCAAGCAGTCCTTGGCACCAGCAGCAGTCTGGTTTCTTCAGGGTATGATGCTGAAAAGCCAGAAGGCAGCTGCAGAAAAGCATGTGCCCACTGCAAGTCTTTCAGCAGCCACAAAAATCTCTGGATAATTTAAGGGACACTTCTGGTTTTGCCAGAAGCCGTTAAATCCCACCTCTTAGCCACGAGCTAGGGGAAGAAACTCCCAGGCATGGAAAAATTCCCAAAGAACAGTTTGCAAGAGAAGACCAACACTGTAAACATTTGTCATCTCCCGGAATAAAGGGAAGAAGGCAGCTGGGAGAGGCACGGTTGGCAGCAGGTTTGGTTTGGTCTACACGGGATGCAAAATCTAAGGGCAGAAGGATGAGAAGGAAGGACAGGCAAGGTACCCAACGGCCTCCATGCAGGCTTTGAGAACTGAGGGCAGACACCAGACACTACAGCAATGACAGCCCTAGGAGCCCTTAGAGGTTCCAACACACACAAATAGGGCGCAAAAAGGGTAATTTTTAGCACAGAGTGAAAGCAGGTCACAGCCTGGAGATGGGTTGTAACTACTGCCTGCTCCTGCGAACCTGGAGGAACGGCCATCCACGGGGCTGGAGCGGCTCTGGCAGCGTGGCGATGCCCAGCCCCGTCCCTCCTGTGGCTGAGGAATTGTCCAGAAAAACAAAATCATTCCAAAAAGTGTAATAACAGGGCTTGAATGCCAACCGGAGAAGATGCCACCTCCTCCCTGCGCTGCTTGCTCTACAGCAATCTGCCACCTGAGCCAAAAGCCAGCCTGGGATGTCTGGTGAGCCTCATCTTGCATGTACATGGGAGTGAAGCCACACTCATTAGCACACTGGTGCTGACTCCTGGGTGCTCACGGGACTCTTCCAGCGAGGGAGCAGACCCTCAGGTACGTGGGATTGTTGCTCTCCATACAACATTCTCCATGCTGGAGCAGGACAGAAAGTGCTGATGGCACCGGAATGTCACCTTTAATGCCACCAAGCCCTGTGGGTCTCACTCATCAGCATCCCTGAGGAGCAACCTGCCATATGGTGCACCAATTTGAATAAAGATGGCTTCAAGTAGACCAGATCTAAATTTAGAAGTCTATATAATGCCACGTTACCCCCTAATGCAAATGGTGTTAAGTGGATGGGCAGCGAGATGGAAGGAAAAGATCCCTCCAATCACAGCAACTGATTTGAATTAAAAGGAAAACATCTTTCCTAGTATTTAAATACACTGCATGGCTAGAGGTTACCTATTATTTATCCCAGTATAGCTTGCAAAGCAGCTTACTGGTGCATGCCCAGAGCAGCAGTGCCACACAAGTGGAATCCCTGAGGAGTTACCAGGACCAAAGGCCTCAGCTGCTTTGCCGTTGGGTTCTTGTCTTTACTGGAGAAGGTAAAGCTCCAGCCACCACACTGAATGCCATAAATCCTGCTCAGAGCCTTGCCCACGAGAGGGAATACGTGGATACAGTTAAAATAACTGGGCTGTCGAGGGACAAGGCAGCACTAGAAAAGGTTTCCCAACCCAGTAATGCCAATTAAGGGTGTGACTTTTGGATGACATTTTTACACCAACACCAAGGCTATTCACGCTGGTGTAACTGTCTTCGAAGTCATTTTGAGAGTCCAGCTGACTCCACTGGGGAAAAGAAACAGTTAAAAGACCCTTTTTGGGCATCTTTAGGCCCCATTCTGCCATTAGGAGAAAACCTTTCATATTAAAAATAGTTTCACCTCTTCCACTAATAAGGGTGGTTTATGTCTAGAAAGCTCTATCTTTCTCAGATAAATTTACACCCATTTGCCACATACCATAAGCCGTAGTTTTCTTGTTAAATCACTGTCTAACCAAAAAATAAATCCATGTTTATGCGATGTGCCCCTACGCTCCCTCTGCGACCGAAAGGACAAGGACACCTAAAACAAAGATGTCCCACGAGGAGGAGCAGGGGAGGATTCAGGTGCAGAGGGGCTGTGAGTAACCCACCAGAGCAGACAGGGTCCCAAGCACCACCAACCCCTCTCCTCAGCACCCATGGGTGCAAAGAAACCAAAGTGGGTACCGCTGCAACTCAGCAACAACAGCATCTCTTCCTGCGGGCTCAGAGAACGAGTGTGGAGCCCATAAGCTCCAAGGACCTTCCTGCAGGTGGTACAGACCACACACCCAAGCCCACCTCCTCTGGGCCGGCTCCCCACAGGGGGGGCTCAGCTCCAGGGGGACCCCCAGGCTCCAGCACCAGCCCCTGGGTGACCAGAGGAGGAGATGAGGTGAGGGGAGGTGTTGGGGGGAGAGAGCAGCCTGCCCCTTGCTCCACACCCCAAAACGCCGGGAGCATTTCATGCTCCCAGGGGCTGGATTTCTCCACGATCCTGCAAGTTTGCCCCCCCCCCAAATCTCCCCGACACAGC